TCTTTTATTCCTCACATAGGGAGATCTCCCTTCAAGTTCTAGTGGGAAATATGTAGCTATCCTTAGGGAAAAATTAATGCTATTAAAGACTTAGTAGTGCGCTGCTTTGTTGGCAGCGTTGTCCAATTATAACAATTATCACTTGCAACATTGTAACTATTTAGTGCTCGTAGATGTGTGTTTTTAATTAAAATGTATTTATTATTTAAATAAATTTATAATTGTAATGGCAAATATAATGTATCTACGACTATTTTATATATGTATGTAAGTAAGTATGTACATACATACAAACAAACATATGTATGTACATGTGTAGGTTAAGTAAGTACTCCATCACAGTGATACATATTTATTAAGCTTGTCATGCTGCTGCCTTCAAAAACTTATTACAAAAGCCGTCATGACACCCCGGACCGGAAGTGCGAGTGGGTACTAAATATTTAAAAGTTTAAACTACTTATATTTAACAAAAACACAAACATTCCTTTCAAAAGAGTTCAACAACAACAACAACAAATCAACTTAAGCTAATTCTATTTGTTTATATACACACAGGCATTTATGCTATAACATACATACATACCTACATACCTACATACATACATGCATTCATACATATGTATGTATTTAAATCCCAATGCATTTTCAAGTACAACACCGAAATCATTAACAATAATTTGTGAGAATGTGCGAGTACTTTGTTGAAAATTTTAAGTGCTGATAAACACAAACACAACTACAACAAAAACAACTATCACTATCTCATACATTCATACAATAAGAACTACATACATACATACATACATACATACAACTGCAACTGACGCTACCAAAGACTAGTCCTAATAAATGTAAGAGAATTTATGCTCAGATTAATTGTCGAATAAATAATAAATTACATACCTAAACATACACATAAATGGATGATAATAATTCAGTTTAAAAGTGAATACTTAGACAAAGCCAGCAAACAAACACTTACACACATTCATCCGTATGAGCGTATGAGCTATATATGAGCCAGTGCAGTGTATTTAAGTATGTAATAAGTTTACCAATAAATACCTACCTACATACCTTTAATTAATGTGTAAATAAACCTAAAATATACTTACAT